GATATTGGGATGTTCTTGCTCAGCTCAAGATCTTGTTTCCTCCTGTGGCCTTCCATGTACCTCCCCCTTGCTGGGACTGGCGAGTGACATCAGAATCACAATTGATGATACCACTGTTTCTATAGTAACAGTGGTCAGGCTACCAGAAAATGAGTGGTCAAAAAAACAAAGAGGAGGGGCAAAGATACGCTCCAAGGCACTGATGTTTAGTTTGGAAGGACTGGGATTCATTCTGATTAATTCTCTTTTTAGCGCAGTGGCCCCCAAACTTTTTCACACCAGGGACCAGTTTTATGGAAGACAATTTTTCCACGGATGGGAGTGGGGTGGGAGAATGGTTTCTGGATGATTCAAGCACGTTACATTTGTTGTGTGCTTTATTTCTATTATTATGCCATGATGTAGAATCTATGGGAGCCCTGTTTTCCTGCAACTAGATGGTCTCATCTGGGGGTGATGGGAGACAGTGACAGATCATCGGGCACTAGATTCTCATAAGGAGTGCACGACCTGCACTTTCACAATAGGGTTCAAGCTCCTACGAGAATCTAATGGCAGAAGGTGGAGCTCAGCTTTGCTCCCTTGCTCACCAGTCACCTGCCGTGTGGCCAGGTTCCTAGCAGACCACCGGCCCATGGCCTGGGGTGTGGGGACCCCTACTTTAGAGTGTTTAATATAGGCCGGGGAATATGGGATGGGGCGTTTTGCCAATGGATTCCACTAAAACAGCAGAGTATTATGTACTAACAAATCTAGAGCACCATAGGGGAGAATCAGAAATAAAAGAATTGGGGGTCTAAATTTTATGCAAATCCCATGGAATCACTTTATTTTGTCAAATTCAACCAGGACTTTTCTTATTTATAAGCATCTTGCCTTTTGTAAAATATATATGTATATGTATATACATATGTATTTAGGATATTTTGCCTAAACTGACCATCTCTGGGTTATAAATTGTCTTAGATGCTCAGAGGTACAATGAATTAATTAATCTTTTGCAATGCCTGACCTGAGAAGCTGTAGTGGGAAAAATCAGACCAGGAGGCAATTGGTTAGCTACTCTTTCTTTGTTGGGGTGGAGTGGGGTGAGGTGGTCTTTATTACTACATTCTCTGTGGAAATGTTACCTCAGCTACTCTGTAATTAATAATGAAACACAGGACGAATACGTAATCTCCATGAAGCAAAAAGCACTTCCAAGAAGGCCACAAGATAATGACGAAAACTGCAACAGATTCAAAAGTGGCTGGTTTATCATAGGCTTCCTTCAAAAAGGTTATTTATTGCCGGATGCAGTGGCTCACGTCTGTAATCCCAGCACTTTGAGAAGCAGAAGCAGGCAGATCAGTAGAGGTCAGGAGTTCAAGACCAGCCTGGCCAACCCAGCAAAACCTTGTCTCTACTAAAAATACAAAAAATTAGCCAGGCATGGTGGTACATGCTTGTAATCCCAGCTACTCGGGAGACTGAAGCAGGAGAATTGCTTGAACCCAGGTGGCAGAAGTTGCAGTGAGCAGAGATCACGCCATTGCACTCCAGCCTGGGCGACAGAGTGAGACTTAAAAAAAAAATAAGTTATTTATCCATTGATGATCTTTTATATTAGGTCTCAAAAGAGCTCTTGTATTCTTTTCACATAAAGTGCACCTACTAATGAAATATATTTGTTAATATGTCTCATTTTCTTTCTATTTTTTTTGAAATGGAGTCTCAACTCTGTCACACAGGCTGGAGTACAGTGGCAAGAACTTGGCTCACTGCAACCTCTGTCTCCCAGGTTCAAGTGATTCTTGTGCCTCAGCCTCCCAAGTAGCTGGGATTACAGGTACCTGCCACCACACCTGGCTTTTTGTATTTTTAGTAGAGGCTGGGTTTCATCACGTTGGTCAGGCTGGTCTCAAACTCCTGACCTCAGGTGATCCACCTGCCTCAGCCTCTCAAAGCGCTGGGATTACAAGCATGAACTACTGTGCCCAGCCTCTTCATCTTTTTTTTTTTTTTTTTTGAGACGGAGTTTCACTCTTGTTACCCAGGCTGGAGTGCAATGGCGCGATCTCGGCTCACCGCAACCTCCGTCTCCTGGGTTCAGGCAATACTCCTGCCTCAGCCTCCCGAGTAGCCGGGATTACAGGCGTGTGCCACCATGCCCAGCTAATTTTTGTATTTTTAGTAGAGACGGGGTTTCACCATGTTGACCAGGATGGTCTCGATCTCTTAATCTCATGATCCACCCGTATCGGCCTCCCAAAGTGCTGGGATTACAGGCGTGAGCCACTGCACCCAGCCCTCTTCATCTTTAAAATAAAGAAATGGGGCTTGCTGAGCTCCTAAGATCTCTTCCAGCTTAACATCCTATGATTAAGTTATATACTTCAGTGGTATTTAGATAGTACTACATGGACCTACATATAGTACTTTGCAGGTGACAAAGCATCTTTGCATCTATTATGTCACCCAATTCTCTTAGTAACCTTTTGAGGTACCAGGGTAGGTTTTATTTACCCTGTTAGACAGTTGTAGGAGCTTATCCAGGTCACAGCTAATAACTGATAAAACTGGGAATGGAATCTAGTATTCTGGGTGTTAAAAATCAGTGTTCTTTCAGCTGGGCACAGTGACCCATGCCTGTAATCCCAGCATTTTTGGAGGCCAAGGTGAGAGGAGGTCTTGAGCCCAGGAATTTGAGACCAGCCTGGGCAATACAGTTAGACCCCGTCTCTTTTTTTTTTTTTTCCCCCGAGACAGAGTTTTTGCTCTTGTTACCCAGGCTGGAGTGCAATGGCGCGATCTCGGCTCACCGCAACCTCCGCCTCCTGGGTTCAGGCAATTCTCCTGCCTCAGCCTCCTGAGTAGCTGGGATTACAGGCACGCGCCACCATGCCCAGCTGATTTTTTGTATTTTTAGTAGAGACGGGGTTTCACCATGTTGACCAGGCTGGTCTCGATCTCTTGACCTCGTGATCCACCCGCCTCAGCCTCCCAAAGTGCTGGGATTACAGGCTTGAGCCACCGCGCCCGGCGACCCCGTCTCTTAAAAAAAAAAAAAAAAAAAAAAAAAAAAAAAAAAAAAAAATCAGTGTTCTTTCATTTACGCCATGCAACCTTGAAACTAAAATTGAGAACATGAGACAGTGTTTAACTTAGAGATTTTAAGTAATATAATTAGCAGTGTTATACAGGAGTTCCAAGGTTGCTGATAACAGTCAGGGTCTGTCAATCTGAACCAGGAAAGTATGTTACTATCCATATTGGTCCCAGAATCAAGTATTAGCAAATTGTATTAAATGAACATAGGATGAAGCCAAGAAATATGACAGCGTAGCATTATTAAGCTTCTCTGGTGAAATTCAAGGGTTTCTTTTGTCTTCCAATTCAATTTGGTAGGTGATACTTCAGTAAACGGTAGGGGTAAGAAAGAGTAGAAACAGCCAAGATTTCAAGCCTAGTAATAAAGTAACTCCTACATCCCTACTCACCTCTTTGTCTATCCTAGAAACACATACTTTCCCTGAAAAAACAAAGCACTGGAAAAATTACCAATTAGAAAGAACCCACCCTCCCCAAACTAGGTGGTTTTTCTGATAAGCCCAAGGTATGTTTCACAGGATCACTGGTTGCTGTCTCTTCCCCAGGAATCTGGAGAGGTTGACCATAATAAAGTATTTTAAAATCCAAGTACTTGGTCTAACCTGGAATTTCCTCAGTCTCCAGATGGCTCTTTGTAGAACAATGCGGATTCTCAAAGGTGTCCACAGTTAAAGAAAAAATTACAAACCATTGCGCTACAGAGAGCCATCTGCTGTTTCCCCTTAGACAGATGTTCAGATGGCACACATGGTCACTAAATTTTAACATAATATTTCAGGAAGTTCACAGATGTCCTGAAGCCCACTCATGAATCACAATCCTGGTTAAGAACTCCTGGATTCATATGCCAGGTGGTGATACGTGCTTTGGTATATAAACTTAAACCAAAAATTGGTGGAACGTTTACCACCTTGGATAGGATGGTCAGAGTTGTTTTCTCCGAAGAGGTCACTTTTGAGCAGACTTGAGCTGGTGCAGATACCTGGGTGAGCATTCCAGAAAACGCCAACAACAGCGCAAAGGTCCCTAGGAGAGAATGTGCTTGGCGGGCTCGCGTACATTTATTCACTTGGGACACACCCTCATTTTGGTTTCTCTTCTCCTCTTTTCCCCTCATTCTTGTCTCTCTTTTTCTGTCTCCTGGGCCCTGGACCTCCCGAGTGCAGGGGGCTATGCCTCCTTCTTCCCCCGGCCTCACCAGGGCTGCCTTAGCTGACATTTTCAAGGAACAGGAAACTGAGAGTCAGGAAAGCTGAGGTCTCCTACCGAGGTCTTGCCATTTTGCATGTCCTGAGTCAGTCACCGGTGAACTCTGAACTTCAGGTTCCTCGGCACTTAGAGATTATAAACAAAGAGACATCTTTACAGCCGAATTCTGTTCACGTCCTTCCTTCCCCTTCTCCTTCACTAGGCCTCCCTTCCTGTCTCCTCTCTTCTCCTAGCCTCCTTCTTCTTTTTTTTTTTTTTTTTTTTTTTTGAGACGGAGTTTCGCTCTTGTTACCCAGGCTGGAGTGCAATGGCGCGATCTCGGCTCACCGCAACCTCCGCCTCCTGGGTTCAGGCAATTCTCCTGCCTCAGCCTCCTGAGTAGCTGGGATTACAGGCACGCGCCACCACGCCCAGCTAATTTTTTGTATTTTTAGTAGAGACGGGGTTTCACCATGTTGACCAGGATGGTCTCGATCTCTCGACCTCGTGATCCACCCGCCTCGGCCTCCCAAAGTGCTGGGATTACAGGCTTGCGCCACCGCGCCGGACCCAGCCTTCTTCCTGACCACCATGCTACCGAAACTCGTTTCCTCCTGCTTAGCGTCTGCGCCAACAGGCGTGGGGGATAAATTTTGACCCAGCTTTGCAGCCGTAGTCAGCTGGGCGTGCCGGCGTGGGGAATTGTGGGTGAAGATGGCGGCCGCCGTGCAATCCCGGGTTTTCCGGGCCCCGCTAATGTCACGTGTGTGTCACCGGGAACGGCGACCCCTGATCGGGATTCCGAGTCGGGGATCTAAGGTTTTGGGAGTGGCGCCTTGCTGCAGCGGTCACGCCGACTTCCTAGGCACTCTGGTTTTCCTAGGTCTGGAGCTGCCTCTGCCTGGTTTCTCCCTTTGCTTTCCACTTCCCCGGCTTACATATTCAATTGTACACCTTGGGAGGGGACGAAAGATCTTGAGCAGCGGGAAGCAAAGAGGAGAAAGCAGGGGGTACGTAAGGGATCGAGAGAATCAGAGTTCTGATACAGTTGTAAGGGTTTAGGGTTATGAGAAATATTTGTGTGAGGCGGGGAGAGAAATCTGTAAGGGAGCAAAAAAAGGCTCGTGGCGAGAGGTTTTCGTGGATTGACTTTATGACCTTGTGCAAACCCTTAATGGGTCTCAATTCAGATTCTTCATGGCACGATGGAAATGATAATATTACAGTATCTGGGAGGCTCTGATAAGATTAAATGAGCTAATGTTTATAAAAGCATCCTTTTAACCAAAAGCGTCTCTACTGATGTAGAATGTGTTGGACCAAGTGACTTGGGGTCTGTGGGAGAGAAGGATGTTTGGGGAGAGAAGAATCAGGAGCTGGGTGGAAAGGAAAGTGAAAAAGAATGGAGGCTGTCTTAGAATTTGTTAGCATTATTTGTTTTCTCTTCTAATCTGATTGGATTTGCTCCCAGTTCTCAAATTGAAAACATACATTTGCCCTTCCACTCACTAAAAAGCAAGGCAATTAGAAATACGGTTATAATTCATTATTATTCTTTCACCCTCTACTCTTCCACAAATATATTCCAATCAAACTCCAAAAGTTGTATTTGTTCTTGGTGTATTTTAATCTTACAGAATATCATTTGCTTTCAAAATTGGCTCATGTCAGAATCACTTGTAGAGCTTGGCAAAAAATAGAAATGAAGACTGATTGTAGAGCGATTGAATCAGAATTTGTGAGATTAGCTTCTTGCACCTTAAATTTTTAAAAGCACCACAGATAGGTTTGATATTCAGTCTAAGGTAAAGATTAGGGTGACCTGGGCCAGCTTCTGTTTCTGGTAAGGGCCTTTATGGCTGATTGAAGTTGATAAATATACATTGCTAAGATCATTTTTAGGAGTAAGAGGGCTGATTCATTGAAATTGACAAATATAAACTACTAAGGTCATTTTTAAGAGTAAGAAGCAGTTAAAGTAGTAATTTCATCCTAAAATGAACCAGGGGCACTCTCTATTCACAGGTCATTCTTCCAGGTAGGTCCCCACATCTTCTTTGTCATGCAAACTCTAGACTGGCAGTTGGCAAACTTTTTCTGTGAAGGGCCAGATAGTAGATATTTCTGGCTTTGCAGTTTATAGTCTTTGTCATAATTACTTAGCTCTGCCTTTGTACCTGGAAGTAGCCATGGACAATATGTACACAAATGGGCATGACTGCATTTCAATATTTACAAAATTAGGCTGCAGGCCAGCTGTGGCCTGTGGACTATAGTTTGCCAATCCCTGGTCTAGACTTGTGCTGTCTAGTGTGGTAGCCACTGGCCACAAGTGGCTACTGAGCACATGAAATGTGACTAGGCTGAATTGAGATGTGCTGTGTATATAAAATATGCAGCAGACTTCAAAGACTCAGTATGAAGGAAAGAATATCCAATATATCATTAATAGTCTTTGTTACATACTAAAATAATATTTTGGATATATTAGGTTAAATAAAATATATTATTAAAATGAATTTCACTTTGTTTCTTTTTCACTCATGTGCCTCATGTTATAGTTGGATAGTGCTCTATAGACATTAAAAAACCACAAATAGGGTGTTTTATAACTTGGTTATTTAGCATAGAT